ACACACACACACACACACACACACACACACACCCTTGTATTTGCATCAAACTGAGGACTTTTATTGATTTCCATTCATTTGTAACTGCATGCCTAACCCAGACATTTTTTAAAATAAAACTAACCAGTTTATTCCTAATCCTAACTTTAACCAAAACTTAATTATAATACCTCTAAACCTAACTGGTAAATAACAGCAAAGCTGCAAAATAATGAGGACCGAGACATGGTCCTCATTTTGATAGTAACTGTTTTGCAAGTGGTCCTCACTCTGTAGCAGAAAKAAGTACACGCACACACACCTGCTGATTATATGGTTTAAGTTTCAGGCTTTGAATGACAGTTTCTTGGTGTTTCTGTGTGTACAGGAGCTGAATGCATTCAGAGGGAAATGCAGCATGCTGTTTCATTACGACATGATCAGTGTTCCCCTCGTGTACACTCAGGTATGTGCAACCTTTCACAACACTACACAAACAACCTTTTGTTTCATTTGAAATGACCAAACACTGTAACCATGCAGGTGATACAGAAGGTGGATTTTTTAAAGGTTTTTTTTTTTTACCACACCTTGGTTAACAACTAATTCAACGACCTTTCAAGTCCTTCCAGGACCCATATCCTTAAATTCAAGGACCACATGCAACAGCAATTACCTTTGCTACTGCTACCGCTAAATATTATATCAATGAACAATTTTAATACAGTGCAAGTTCAATAAAAAACTGAATGGCATAGATGTTAGGTCATGGGGATACAGCTGTCTCTTATTCACATCTACCACACTTTTCATTAACAAAAATCTCAAAGTGCTATAATGCATAAGTTGTTATAATAAGAGGTTGACCAATATGACCTTTATATTTGACCTATAACAAAACATAATTACTTGTTTTTATCAGTCTTTTTTTTATTATTCTTTAATTTGTAGTCAGATCAAAATTATCTCATATTTTTGATTCTAACTGAGGAGGAAATACATTTCCTCCTCGAGAGAAACCTCAGAGAGCGATGCTGAAAAGGTTTGTCAGATTGACCTTGTGTCTGCAGTAGTAGGCACCTGAGGTGGGCAGAGTACCCAAATATTGTACTCAAGTAAGTGTAGCACTACTTCAGCATATTTTTACTCAAGTGAAAGTAAAAAGTAGCCATGCAATAAAGAGTAAAAAAGTATTTGGTAAAAATGCTACTCAAGTACTGATCAAGATATTAATTATTTAATATTTAAAAATTACATCAGCAGACCGACCAAAAATATAAAGCTATGATGAGACTTTGGTATTTTAAAGGTCAAAATAAAAATAATTCAAAAAATAATTACAAAATAACAAATTCAGGCAAAAAGAAACATTTTTTCCAAATCAGTTTCTTCAATATAAATTTAATGAAATTAACAAAAACTGCAGGTGTGTTTGGTGAATGTTTCAGTTCAGTGACGTTACTCACAGCAGGTAGAGTATCCAGAAGTTTTACTCAAGTAAGAGTAGCAGTACTTCATTGTAAAATTACTCTAGTAAAGATTAAAATTACAGCATAGTAAAAATTATTTTTTCCCCAAAAAGTGACTCAGGTGAATGTAAGTGAGTAAATGTAACTACTGCCTGTGTTTCTGCTGCTGTCTGCAGGTTTCTACGTGACCCTGGTGGTGAACCGCTGGTGGAGTCAGTACACCAGCATCCCTCTGCCCGACAGCCTCATGTGCGTTCTGTCGGGGAGCCTGCAGGGCGCGGACGAGCGGGGACGCCTGCTGAGACGCACCATGATGCGCTACGCCAGCCTGTCGGCCCTGCTCATCCTGCGCTCCGTCAGCACGGCCGTCTTCAAACGCTTCCCCACCGTGGACCACGTGGTGGAGGCTGGTGAGGGACGGGCCTGAAACSCAGCGTCCTTTTATAGATTTCTATCAGTGCATTCTTCTTCTGGGATACTGGGACCCAATCTTTGCACAAGCTGCTAATGAATCTGAAGCATTTTCTTTCCCTCGCTCTCTGTCGTTTGTCCAGGATTCATGACGAGAGAGGAACGGAAGAAATTCGAGGGTCTCCACTCTGCTTACAACAAATACTGGATCCCGTGTGTTTGGTTCACCAACCTGGCTGCTGCTGCTCGCTGCGAGGGAAGAATCAAAGATGACCATACGCTCAAACTGCTGCTGGAGGTGCAGCACGCACACACACACACACACACACACACACACACACGCACACACACACTTGTGTACATAATGATCGAAGCAGACAGATCTCTCTCCCTATCACCTTCCCACGCAAAAAGACCTCCCAACAGACGCCAAACAGCCACGAACCTGAACCACTGACAGAGCCTCCGCTCTCCGCCTTTTTATACAGCTTCCCTCTTCCCCAACCAGATCTGCAGGCTCGCCTGTTGAAGACACGCCCACACACACACACACACACACACACACACACACACACACACACACAC